CCTGCTGAGAGCTGGAATGAGAGAGACACAGAGAACCCATGAGAAAGCCCCGAGCAGCAGAATACCTGGCAGCTTCAGAGCATCTCTCCAAGCACCGGAACACAGCAGCCTGGCGCAGGTGGTTCCGGAAATAAGCCGGGTTCAGAATGATGCTCCTTGGAAAGGTGAGAGACATGGACAGGTTTAGATCTCTAATTCCTACACAACTAAAAGATAATAATAACAAGGCACACACTGTATACACAGCTCTCAACACTCTCAACACAATATAGTAAGAACTATTTCTTTCTCTCTCTTGACAGCTGTGGCGGGTGAACAAGAACCTGAATCCCCCAACCATAACCTAATCTACTGGTTCAGTGCTTAAATCATGTCCCTAAGCACTATATCTGCATTTATGTTAGATGTAAGTTTTTCTGTATGTGTTCAGTGCTCATGTACTACATGTGTGGGCCCTTCAGAAGGAGCTTTCAAAAGAAGTTAAAACCTGTCAGTATCACCAAGACACGTGGGCTTGTGAGTGAAATTCACTTTGCAGACACTTTCTCCAAGGCATATGGAAGAAGACCTAAAGCCCTGCATGGTTCCATCAACATTTGCAAGTAATGAGAGATATAAGGAATGGATCAGGAGATCAGAGAAGCTATGAGGTCCAACAAATCTGTTCTGTAGATAGTTAGAGGTTTTATTTCAGACTAGACCTGGACTGGTCCTTTAAAGAAAATGTCCCTGTGCATGTTGCTCAAAGCTGCCTTGATGATCAGACATTGGTTTGGACTCTGGTGCCTTCATGAAGTGCTAGATGTATTTTGTGCACAGCTCATGCAGAATGTGCAGGGAGATTTCTCTGGAATTAATCCACTTTGTGAGCGCTCTCTGAATAACCTAGTGTGCAGAAAATGCAGAAATTTGGGTAAAGTGAATCCCAATCCTACTGTTGTGCCAAAGCAAAATGCTAAGGTAGGTGTAGCCAGGGATGCTTCTGTTATGACACAGTAAAGCTTTACTGGGTGTGAGCAGAGCTGCTCGGAGCTCTGGAGATGCAGCTCTGCTGAAGACCATCCTTCTCCTTAAGGAAGGTTTGGTTGAGAAAACTGACCCAATAATTTGCAAAAGGCTTTTAACAGGGCAGACTTTGGATCACAGCAAAGATGAAAAATAAAACCTATTTCAAGCTTTCTTTAGCCTATTATGTACATGTCATGCCTAACACAATTGCTGAAGTAATTAGGTGCTGCTAATTCTTTTACTTCTTTTTCTTCCCTTTTCTGAGGAGGTAAAGAAATTAGGAAAGTAGTTTAGAGCAAAGAACACATCATGCTCCAGATTTCCCACAGATTAGAAGCACCAGCCTTTACGTTGCACATTTTTCTACTTCTACCTAAAAATCTATGCTCTTCTTGAGCTCTTCATCTATTCTTTCTCCATTTTAATGCCCTTGTCTGCACTGGACCATAGCATCATTGTATTTTTTTTAATTTTATTATTTAACGATTCCCTAGAATTCCATTCTTTAAGTTACTTTGTATAGTCTTACTTTGAAGGTGCAAAATAAGGAAGTTAAGGAATGAAGAAGTACCTGAATTTTGATTTATTTTTTTTAGTTCTGAATTAATCTGGACTAAAGAGGCCTGATTTATTCTGTCTGTAGTACACTCAGTTTCGAGATGCATTTTTCTCTGACAGATATTGCATAAAGCTTGTTCATTAATAATGATTTAAAACCTTTTTTTTAGGGTTTCAGAAGTCACTGGATTTAGAATTAAATCTGCAAGGCTTCAGCTGTCTTTGATTTCTTCCCTGCTGTGCCTCCAGAAGATTCCCCCTGTTAAGTCATCACTAGAGCACTCGTTTACTACTTAGCAGAGGTGCTCTTTTCTACTTCAAGTGTCTCCCTATGAATTGTGCAAGAGGCATTAGAGAATCATAGAACTATTTGGGTTGGAAAAGCCCCTTGGGATCACCAAGTCCAACCATCATCCCTGCTCTACAAAGTTCTCCCCTAAACCACCTCCACCAACACCACATCCAAATGACCCTTAAACTCATTCAGGGATGGTGATTCCACCACCTCCCTGGGCAGCCTATTCCAGTGTCTGACCACTCTTGCTGTGAAAAAAATGTTTCCTAATGTCCAGTCTAAACCTGCCCTGTTGCAGCTTGAAGCCCTTCCCTCTTGTCCTGTCGCTAATTACCAGTGAGAAGAGACCAGCACCAGCCTCTCTACAGTGACCTTTCAGGTAGTTGTAGAGACTGACGAGCTCTCCCCTCAGCATCCTCTTTCTCAAACTAAACATTCCCATTCTCTACCATGTGCAAGTCCTGTTTCTGGCTTTATGCATTGCTGGTGGTGCTGGACTTTGATGTGGATCACACGTGGGCTCGTGAGGAATTAGGTAATGAAAGTATTTTGAAGCCATCCCTGACCTAATCTGGCTTGAAACAGATCAAGAGCTCACAACATCATTACTGCCCATCAGGGCTGAGCAAGTTTGTATTTTCTAGCTTCAATAATAAGGGTGAATTATGTAGGTGACTCACCTGCATATCCTTACCTCCAGCAGCACCAAAGCACTAAATTTATACCCTGCTATTGTGGCTCCATGTCTCCAATTTTGAGAATCACCTCAGTCTAAACACTGGTGCCATGTGTAACGTGTTGCCATGATTCCTCTTTTCTCCTTACGAGACTGATCCTTCCTGCACAGGATTTTTCCATTGTCTGTGTCTAATATTTTATTTCAGTCTTAGCAGTGTATCTAATCAATATTTCTTTTCACCTGTGTGAATGATTCAGAGCTTCTTCAGGCTTCTTCAGCTTCAAGTAGCAGATTACAAACTTCGTCTCAATAAAACTGGCGATACTGGAAATATCTTCTGGATATGTCTCAATGGGATCTTCTGTAGCAGCACCTTTACTGCAAAGCTGTACCAGACACAGAAATGTTCTTTACTAATGTTATCATACACTTTTTGCTAGGTAGAAATGTTTTGTGTAACTGATAAATGGAAGAAACTGACTGCTAAGTGAAATATGCCCTGACTTTAACTAGAGTTAGCCCCAAGACACAAACTGTACCTCAATTGCTCTGCCCTCCCTGCTCCTGTACAGTTCCTTCCAGGAGCAGACAGCAGCTGGGAGGATAAATTCCTCCAGTCTCTTATGGCCCTGGACAGAAGAGAAACTTTACTTTGGGATGGGCTGTGAGGCCCTGCTCTGCCCTGAGAGTGATGGGACACATCCCACGCTGGGGTTTGTCTGTCACTGGGTCTCACAATGCCCGTGGTACCTGGGAGGAGCTGTGGGCTTCAGGCACCTGAAGATTTTCAGCTGCCCAGCTTTCAGAGAAGCCCTTTATGGATCCAGCAGCAGTGACAGGGCGTGATGTTGAGTCGTGGGCCATGCGTGGTGTTGGCTGTTGAGCCCGTGTCTGTCAAGACGGGCTAGTGGCTCATCCAGAGCTGTCCCAAGTGAGTTATTTTTGTTCTCTTTTCTTTTCTCTTTTTCTTTCTTATGTTACTTTCTGAGGAACCTACCATGGAGACCTTATTTCCATTTTGCACTGGTTGCAAAACATGTGGTTTGCATCTTTTTAGGCCAATGAGGCTTTTGATTGTAGGTGACAAGTGGCAGGTGATGATTGTTTTTTTAATCAAATGTACTGCTTAACTTCTACAAAGTATGGAGAAAATAGCTGATGCTTTTGAACACACATCACCTCCAGGTAAATCAGCATGTGAGGAAGCCAATTAGAGTTAATTAGAAATTGGCTGGGCTTTGGCACCGAAGTGATTGGAAAGTATGGCCTGTCCTTTCTGCTACAGGAATTTTGCTCTTGTACACACCGGTGAGGAAATACATCGTTTTACAGTCAACACGTAGCAATCTGAAGGAGAAGGTACTTTGTAACCCAGATTTGTATCAGCAGTTCAGGCAAGAAGAGCAGGGCACGAAGCCTTATAGACAAATAGCTGTATTTCATGGTGATGTGCATGCTGGAAACCTCTAGGAGATTAGCAGAATCTGAAAACCTGAAAAATGTCTGTAAATATTTTGTACCAGAAACCACAAATTTGAATTTTCTGACCTCTGGGCTTGTTACACGCCACGTGTCTCTTTGCCCAAGTGAAATGCAGAGGAGGGAAGGGGGAAGGGAAGGAAAGGAAGGAAGGATGGATTATGTCAGCTTTACAGCAGCACTGTGGAAACACGACAGAGTAACTAAAATCTGATTACATCTAAGTTCTTTGCCCATTATGTGATTATTGTGACCCATGACTTCTATGGGGACATTATGAATTACATGGTCATAATACAGGGGATTTCCAATATAATTAACTGAGATTAGCAGCACTAGAGAAATCTGGGAATAATGATACAACTTTGAACAGCCAGTTTGACTGTAGATGCTGCTGTCTCTGGCTCCCAGGAATCAGGTGGATGCAACCGTGACCCACCTGCTGGGGTTTCCTACACCTCCTTTCTCTTCCCTCTTCCCCTCCATGAAATGCAACCTTGCTGGTGTGCTAGGAACTTCCTCTTTTACTCTTTTCTTCTCATATTATAGTAGTAAAACTCAAGGCTGGCTAAGATTTTATAAAACATCAGAGGTCTTTAGTTGCCTGCTTTTGGGGCACCAGCCTGAAAATGGAAAGGGCCTTGCTTCTGAAAACAGGAAAATCTACTGATTGAAGAACAGACCTGCTGAAGACAGCTCAAGGCTGAGCACTTAAAGGCATGAACTACTGAAAATCTCAGATTTTTTTCCAAGATCATAGCCAAGGTTGTATTATTTCTTTAGTATCTCAGGCTGGCAAGTAGTCTTTTCTTCCATGAAAAGACCCAGCTCTGAACTGCTGAAGGGAAAGCTGAGTGTGTCCAGAGGGAGTTGCTGCTGCTGGACCTCTCCTTCCTTACGCAGGGGAAAAAAACAAAAACAAAACAAAACAAAAAACAAACAAACAAACAAAAAACACACGACAAAAAAACCCCACAAACAAACAAAAAAACCCCAGGATTTCTACACAGATCCAGTGCATGGACAGCTGGATAGACTGAGAACTCCTCTGATCACTGAGATCACACAGAATCACAGACTGGTTTGGGTTAGAAAGGACCTTAAGGATCATCTAGTTCCAAGCCCCTGCCATGGGCAGGGACACTTCCCACTAGAACAGGTTTCTCCAAGCCCTATCCTACCTGGCTTTGAACACTTCTAGGTATGGGGAATTCCCTGATAGAGCTGGAATAAAAAGAGGAGCCCTTTTTTGCTTCTTTTTTTGCACTTTTTTTTTTTTTTTTTCCCCTCTCTATGGCATTTAAATTTCCTCCACACACAGTTGAAGGCTTAAAGAAAATATAGAATCACTCGAGAATTTCTGCTCAGTGAAGTGCCCCATCTCCTTCTAGGATTTATTTATACCTGTTAATTTTCAGATCTCACATGAAACTGTATCTGAGGATTTGTAGTAAACAATGCCCACCCCAGGTGTGCTTCTGGTTCACTTTGATATTGTTACACCCAGTCAGTACAAATGACAGCCTTTCATTCACTTCCCTGTGGTGGCAGTACATCTTTAACCTCATACCTCCCATGCTGTTGAGAGCTGCTCCACTGCTGCTTCATAGTTGTTCTCCCTGTAGCAAGAACTGGCTGCCTTGAGGGTCACCTGCAGCTGCTTATCAATCTGGGGCAGAGGGACGTCGTCAGATGTGCCCACAGCATCTTCTTCAGATCCATGACGTGATGACTGTGTGCTTGTGGGCTCCACAGGATCAGCAAACTCAAAGGGAATGTCCTCTTCATCAGTGTAGACCAACTCCATTTCCAGGTCCATTATGCTTTTTGGAGACAAACAAGACAGGGGCGTTGCAAGTGACTGATCCCCACCCTCTAACAGTTTTTCTCTTTTCACAGCTACTTTGCCATTGTCATTGTCGTGGCTTCCTGGTTTATTCTTTTGTCTTTCTCTGCCTGCAGCTTCAGTTTGGTTTTCCTCCCGTACCTTTGCCATATCTAGTCTCCTCAGCTGTGCTCTGAGCTCCTTGGTGAGTTGTCCATCTGGAATATCCTTCCGTCTTTTTGCTGCCTCAGTGGTTTTCTTACTACCACGCACCTGCCGAGAGGCTGCATTCTTGCTCTCCATGTTTGTGAGAGATGGTTGGAAATCAGTGTTGCTTTCTGATGCTGTAAATCAAGCCAAGGAAGAGTCCTAGGAGAAAATGTAGAACCAGTAATAATACTTTGACAGTGCAAAGCCAGAAATGGCAGACAAATTATTTCTCCACCAGGCATATTGTGGGCACCGTTATGAGACAAAACTCTGCAAAGTTAGTCCAGAGAGCACCAGCCTTTCTGTAAGTCTTTTATCTTTCCTGTGTACAATTTTAAGGCACCTTTAATATTTTTGACAGCTTTTGATAACAGACGTTTGTTTATGTAAAGTCATGCCACTTGATTAGTTTGTTGTGCCTACAACAAGAGGAGAAATTCTGGCTTTTAATCCCAAGAAAACCAACCAAAACCCTGTGACAGACCGACCCGTGTTTATGTTGTTTTGGCAAGTAAAAAAAGTCACTGTGTCCTGATTTTCAAGAGCTGGTAAGCAGTGACTGGGGTCAGAGAGAGGTGTTCAAAAATCAGGCAGAGTGGATATAATTCCAGAGGGGCACAAGCTCCAACTGGGGTCCCAGCTTTGCTGCATTTGAGCCAAATTCCCATCCAGGTTGGAGTTCCAAAGCCCCTTCATATTGAACCATCTGCAGAGGACAGGAGTGTTGGTATGAAGAAGCAACCAAACCCCAGTCGTTAACAGCCTAATTGTCAGTTCAGGGAACTGGCAGTGGATTCAAACTGGTACAACAAGGTGCAGAAACAAGCTTGGAAGCCTCCTCTCAACACCAGCTCATGTACAATAGGGAAGGTGACTTGGTCTGCATTGTAAACTCACAAGTGTACTCAGATTCAAAAGAGATGTTCCTTTTCATCTGCCCCTGCTGACTTCAGAGTGAAAATGTGGATGGCACAGGTAATTTACTTCTCAGGTTTTCCATCAGTTATGAAAAGTTAAAAAACTGTAAGCAGTTTTAATGATGAGCATCTCTCAGAATGGTTTGTTAAGCAGCACTACTCACCCTTTAACCTTGTGTTGTTGTTCAACAGACCCCCACGTTGAGCACCAGTTTAGCTTACTTAACCACAGGTACAGGTTGTGCAAAGGAAAGATACATAATAAATGCAGCTCTCCTCCAGCTGCCAGAATGTGCCCTGGGTGTTGTGGCACAGTCACCCTGTCCTGCCTGGGGCAGTGGGCACTGAGCAATGGGCAGAAACATGCAGAGAGGGGTGAAGGGAAGAGGCAAAAAACCTGACCCATCCTCGAGACTCCTTCATACCACCAGTACAGTTGCCCTCTATTAATGGTATATTTCCAAGGGATTTCACCTGAGATACAGCATTACTGCAGTCACACTGGACAGAATGAGGCACAGTTCAGGAGTCAGGATGTATGATAAACCATTTGGGTAGTTTAGCTGTTCCCCCCCTGGTTTCACTAGATGCTTTAGCAAGTGCTCAAGTTATGCTTATTCCATTTCTCACAGCTGGAGATAATGAACTTAAAATATGTAAAGTGCATGTCAGTAATTTAAGGATTAAAGAGAATTACATCAATTCCTTTTCTCCAGGTGATTTTGCCAGGAGTTACTTGTCCTGTTCAGCATGGCTGCACCAGGCATCCAAACATTTGCCATCAATGGGGACCTCCTGAAGTGTTTTCTTTATTCTGAGATTTAGATTTAAAGAGGAGCAGGAGTTTACAATTGGTTTTGTGTCCTGAGTACCAATCATTTTTGGCAAGTAGCCCAAACTATTGAATTAATTAATCCTGTCCAGGGGCTTAGATGTTTTTCAAAGACCAAAAGCAAGAAGATGCTCTTGAACCCTTGTTCTCCAAACTGGGAAGTGTCTCCTCTCCTTTACAATGCTGTGTTTTCTTCTTGACTGGTACTGCCACAACATCAACCAACTCCAAACTGTTCATGTGGAAAAAACAGCATTTGCTGCTGTCAGGGTGACTCTGGTCTGCAGAAAACAGTAATTCCCAGGTTTTTCAGTTGTGAGGTGAAGGGAAGCCATTAAAGCTCTAACCCTCAGCTATTCCCAGCAAGGCACCATTCCAGAGGATGCTGGAATTCAGCTAATAAATAAGTAGGGGGAAAAAAACCCACACCAGAAAGCTCAAGGCAAGGACTTTGAGAGGGGCCTGCTTTGCATCCTGGCTTCTGAGAGTTCTTTCTGGAGCAGCTGCATTATTTTCAACATCAGTCTGAGGGATGCTGTGGAACAGCCTCTGTACAGAGGGACTGAGGAGCTAACAGAAGGCTAACATTTCCAACTTCTTATAAGATCTACACTCTGAAATAATGCATTTAAGCTAGTTTGCAATGTTTGAATTGAAATGGACACAAAAAGTGTTGATTTTTCTGCTAGTAGTGATGACATTAAGCTGGTGTTCCCTGTGGTCACACACATGTGCAGCATCTTACATGTATAGGAGTGAGTTGTCTTGCAGAGCTGCATGACCTTAGACATGCAAATGAGCTGGGGCTCAAATTGTAATGAGGTCATGTGGAGTGCAACAGGACATTATACACTGGATGTTCTGCATACTCTTTCAGAGTAGCAATGCCAGGTAGAGTTTCCTCCTTGCTGGCCTGACTTCCCATTTCTGTCAGTTGGTAAAAGACCCGAAGACTTGGTCAGAGCAAAGAGAAATGAACACAAAACACTTCAAAGGACTCACTTTTACATGTGCCCAGAATTTTTACCAGTGGTCACAGCTGAGTACTATCACCACAGTATTTCATCCATATTTCCTAAATAGTTTGGCAATCTGAAGTAGGGATAACCTGGCAATATCATAGATTTGTACAGATATAATTAATGACCTTTTAAGACGTAGGCACCATAAAGTATCTAATAAAATACTTGATTTATTGACTGTAATGTAATGTAATTACTATATTAGAATTGATGAAAACAGTACAAGTACAGAATGAGCAGCATGGCCACCTTGAAACAAAACGGACACCACCTTATTGAGTAGGCAGCTTACAACTTGGCTTCTAGAAGGTAGGCAATTAGATGGCAATCTCAATGTTATTTTAAAATTATTACTCTAGTCCTGATGGCTGCAGGAAAAAGTTTGAAAATATAGCTCAAATATCATGTAAAGGCTCAGGAAATAAACGGAAGGAAATAAATAATGTCTTTCTGAAAAACAAACATCACAATTTTTATCTAGTTTGATGTTCCTGGTTGCCTGCCTGAGGATATTTAATGTTTAAAGTTAGCAATATTGAATGAGATTTTGATTGGTCAGGTGCTGGAATAAGAGCAACTTTTTTTTTTCTTTTTCTTTTTCTTTTTTAATTTTACTTCCCATGCATCTTTCTGGTAAATGAGGGCAGGTTATGTGAGTACTGTGTCTCATGGAGCTAATGAGACTTTACTTCTCTTTAGTGCTGGATCAACTTCCCAATATTTGTGAAATACAAAGGAATTAGAATGATGAACGTCCTATAAATAGATAAATCCATCTCCATTCATTAGCACAAGAAAGCTCTGTTTTGTGTCCAGAAGTGATTACTGAAAATGCTTTACCATGTATTTTGTCAGCAAACAAGATGACATTAAGTGGCAACATGTTAAGATCAGTTGCCTTCCATTCCTGCACCTCGACTGGAAAAAAGCTACATTTTCTTTTCAGATTCTGTTTCCCCAAGAATAAAACAGATGCCTTTGGATAAATAGATTTGGAAGATCTCAGTAAATTAAATGAAAAAAAGGGAAACATAATGAAATAAAATCCAAGTGTCTGAAAAAATAATAATAATTAAAAAAAAAAAATCACAGGCCTGGAGTTGAATCCAGTGTTCCTTCTCTACTTTATCCCAGTATGAGGATGACAGGTATTCTACCATCTTACAAAGCACCACCTGAGATGGCTCTTCTGATCTCAACCAGAACGGGTGTCCCTTCATGGAGAACCAGTTAAACATCCAGTTCAATGGATGCTCTACATTGAGCACGTTGTTTGCGCTTAGTACCTTTATTACTATTGTTGGAATAATAATAAATGGTGCCATTGAGATCAGGTTCCTCTTACACTTCTCCATATTAGTTGCAAAAGATGCTTTTAAAAAGATGGAGCAGAGGAAAAAATCTCCTTTGTGGAGGAGACCTGTTCCAGGCCATCTTCTCACTCCTGGGGTTGCTGCCTTTGCCTTCCCTAAGTCCCGTGTAAAAATGGTGCTGAGCCAGCTCGTGTTGAGACCTCCCATTCCCGGCAGGAATGTTCCTGATGTGGGGAAGTGCCTGGGAAGTGAAGCCCTGGCTCAGGCTCTGGGCCCTGCTGGAGCGCACGAGTCCCAGCGCGCTCGGGGCTGGCACCTCTGCCCTGATCTGTGGGGGGAACTGAGCCTTGCTTCTGGGTCACAGAACATTCCTGCCCCCACAGCCTGACTTGCAGCACTTGCATCTCAGACCATGGAGTGTGAGGAGAGGTTTCTTCCCACCCTGGACCTCTGGAGGATGTGGAGTCGTGCTTATCAGGACCTGAGCTCCGCTGAGAGACGTGGTAAAGAGAGAAGTTCTCACATAGGTTTAGAAAAGGGATCAAGGGAAGGTCCTTATTTGTTTGTCTAGAAGCTAAACTGCTGAACTGAAACCAGAGCAACTCCTTAACCTTAGCTTTCTAAATAAATTCTACAAATGCATTTTCAAAATGCAGTAACACATGAAGTCTCTGCTACTTCTAATCCAGACAAAGAAACCTTGTAACTGAAGGCCACAAAACACTCCTGAGGGATGAAGATGCTCTGGAGTTATGTTTACAGCTTGGAACCTCCAAGGTCCAACAAGCATTTCAGAACAGAGCAGAAAATGGCAGAAACCTCACAGACAACATTCATGTCCCAGTGCCAAGATACCCCCTTGGGTGCTGAGGACTAAAGAATCCCCTGATCAGAGCGAGACAAGAAACACAAAGCAAAATCAACACAATTAACCATGTAACTTAGATACAAAATCACAAGACAGAACAAATGTGCCCCATATGTTGTTTCTCAGATAAATTAATTTACT